CAATCTTCTCTCCATCTCTCATGATGTTACTTATTGGCTCAGGCGTGAGGATTTATATTTCCTTGATGTTGAGATATAATCCATATTGAAGGCTGTCGTTTGATCTTCTGCTATAAGTGCTTCATGTCGATTTTCCCTTTATGCAAGCAGGGTTGTGTCAGCTGCATATTGAAAGTTATTGATGAGTCTTCCTCCAAACCTGATGCCACATTCTTCTTCAGAGAGTCCATCATCTCGAATTATTTATTCAGTATACAAATTGAATAGGCAAGATGTGAAGACATAACCCTGAGTGACACTTCTCCTGATTTTAAACCTGCAGGAATGACTGGATTCTGAGTGACTGCTTCTTGTGTCTGGTACCCATTCTATGGAAGTACATTTATGTGCGGGTTTTGCAGGCTCACGGCTGTTCTGGAATTCCCATTCCTCTCAATGTTCGCCATAGCGTACTATGCCCCACACAGCTGGATGCATGTCTTTGCAGCCAGTGAAACACAACCATTTTACCAGTATTCTCTGCTTTCAACCATGATCCAGCTGACATTAGAAATGATACCTCTCATCCCATTGCCTCTTCCAAATCCAGCTTGAATTTTTGGCAGGCTAGAGCCCTAAACTCCACTCTGTCCTGTGCCAATCGCACTGTCTCTGACACTCCCATCCCAATTATCCCAGTCACTGAATCAATCCACCTCATAGAGGGCCTTCCTCTCCTGCGCTGTCCCTCCACCCTCCCAAGCATGATGTCCCTCTCTAAGGACCGGTGTCTCCTCACAACATGTCCAAAGTATGTTAGACAGAGCCTCAGAATCCTTGCCTCCAAGGAGCCACCCGGTTTAACCCTTTCCAGGACAAATCTGTTTGTTTTCCTAGCAGTCCATGGTATTCTCAATACTCTTCTCCAGCACCACAGCTCAAAGGCATCAATTCTCCTTCTATCCTCCTTGGTCATTGTCCAACTCTCTGATGCATAACAAGTCATTGTGAAGACCATGGCCTGTATCAGACGCACCTTAGTCTCCAGAGAGACACCATTGCTCTTCAGTACTTTGGAGAGGTCCCTAACAGCAGACTTTCCCATGGCAATGCGCCTTTTAATTTCCTGGCTGCTGGTGCCAAGACTGTTGACTGTGGAGCCAAGCAAACTAAAGCTGTGTACAATAGGGCAAGCGACTCGACGGCACATAACAACAAACATAACAACAGCTTTTTAAAAAAATCTTCAGTAGGATTTTGCTTGCATATTCTATTAATGATATTTTTCAATCATTTGCACATTCTGTTGGAACATCATTTTTTAAATGAGCCTAAATATGAATCTCTTCCAGTCAGTTGGCCAGGTAATTATCTTTCCAGATTTCTCAGCATAGAGGAGTGAGTATATCCAAGCTGGACCTGTTTGTTGGAACACCTCAGGACAGATCATGAAATGTTCTTTTTGTTTAAAAAAATTCTAGGCGAGCTCTGGTTGCCTAATGGCAGGAAACTGCACTGCAATCCCAGAGGTGCACAATTCAAATCCACCAGATGCTCTGAAGAAGGAGGAACAATCGCCTCCTGTACCAGTCAGATCCAATTTGACGGTACACACATATAAAAAAAAATTTCAATGATTTTTTTGATGATGAATGGTACTTTCCCGCTTGTCATTTCCAGTACAACCAACCATATGATAGTCAGATTCCAAATGCCCAATTCCAATATGCTAATACCAAGATGGGGATTTTTATGCACAGCTTTTTATTTTATAATTTTTCTTTTTATTTTTGACTTCTTTTTTAAAAAAATTTATTTTTGACAACTTCTAATTCTCCTAGATTCATATTTTGGACGTTCCATATTCCAGTTGTCAGTGGATGTTTACAATTGTGTCATGTTAGTATATGAACGTCCCTCATTGGCTGAAAGGTTTACTCTACTCCATCCTTATTATTAGAGTCTACTTCTTTTTTTTTAATTGTGATTTTAACAAGTTGGATTTTCTTCATTCATTCATTGTTGCAGTTTCCTCCCTCCCCCTCCCTTCCCCAAGACAGATTTGACTTTGAGGAGGGCTCTCTCCCTCAGCAGTGTTCTGAGGGGCTCACATTCTGACACTACAGCATACACTAGACTATATCTGGTAGCTTAGTAGTAAGGAATTGCACTGCTGATTCAAAGGTATGCAGTTCAAATCCACCAGCTGCTTCATGGGAGAGAGATGGGCAATCCAATCTCCTCCTGTGCAATTTACTGCCTCTGAAAACCTGTTAGAGGGTCAGTTACGAGTCAGTTCTGACTCCACAGTACCCAGCAACAGCATATCAGACAGTGTTTTGCTGTTACTACTGGGGTCCTGCAATGTAGACAAAGAGTAGGGTGGAGCTCCCCGATTAAAACAAGCTTGGAAGGAGGAGTGGCATCCACTTCCATAATAGCTTGCCTCCGAAACCCTATGAAACTGGAGAGAGGATGAAAGACAGCCTAGCGTTGAGGACTCTCCTTCATAGGGTCGCTATGAGTCGCCTGCGACTTGACGGCACTTAACAATAACATCAACATAGAGAGAGAGATCAGCTGGACCAGTGGACAGAAGGCGATGCTACCAAGCTGAAGGTGGGTGACTTTTAATCTGCAGCCCTCAGGCCTGGCTTTCATTGTTTTTGTTCAGACATTCCTCTAGGTCGTATAGCCCTGGTGTAAAGTTGCTGTACATCGGTCACTTGTGGTTGCTGTGAGGCTGAACACTGTGACACTGATGTGTCAAATGTGTTAATGGTTGGCTACCCAATGTGGACAGAGAGTGGGGTGGAGCTCCCCGATGAAAACAAGCTTGGAAGGAGGAGTGGCATCCACTTCCATAATAGCTTGCCTCCGGAAACCCTATGAACCTGGAGAGAGGATGAGAGACACCCAAGTGTGGAGGACTCTCCTTCATAGGGTCGCTATAAGTCGTCTGCGACTTGACAGCACTTAACAACAACAACAACTGGGGTCCTAAAGGGTCTGTTATTTCAGAAGTGGATGACAAGTCCTGCTTCTTCATCCATTTCAGTCTGGGAAGCTGCTGAACCCTGTCCACCATGGGTGACTCTGCTGGTGTTTGAACTACCAGCGGCATAGCTCCCAACGTCACAGCAGTGCGTGAACCACCACAGCACAGCAAACTGACAGGAGCAAAGGAGCAAAGGGGCCATTTCTAACCTGCCATACCTGGGGTCACCTTGACTTGGACAGCTCACCTGTAACAACAAAGCATTTGTTGTTTACTTATTTCTGCTGTGCTTGATCTATCTTCTTCTAAGAGGATGTTGGCTCACCTTAAGGGGGTATCTTTGTCTTTCTTGCTCATTCATCTATCCTAGCACTTACTTCAGTGCCCGGCACACACTGGGTGCTCACATTGAATGGGGGACAGGGTCGATGGGAAAGGCGGAGAGGTGCCCTGTGCTAGGATGGTCACAGTCAGTTGTGAGGAAGAGCTCATGGTGAACAATGCAAAGCTTGCCCACACCTTTGGAGTGAACACTATGGCCTTCAGTGCTGGTTCCCGAGAGCTGACCACACTGGAAGCCACTGAGTGGGACTGATCAGAGCAGGAGGGCTCATCTGGGGCTCTCTACTGGCTGACTCTTATGAGGCACGAAGCCAGCTATGTGGTGCAGCCAATCGAGGCCTCAGAAGGTGGCGGCTTAGCAGAATCTCCTGAGTGGTGAGGGTGTGAACATACGCTCTTGGGAAGTTAAACACCTTCCCTGGGGATGTGACCTCTGTGTCCCAAAATTCTGCCTTCCCAGAACCTCTCATATCATATGATATGTTTGCATTTCCCATTCAGATTAAAGATAGCTCTTTGCCTGGAGTTTGTGAATCATTTCAGGTGAGAAATTGTTGTTTTGTGTCACTGAGAAGTGACTCACAGCTGACCCCCCCCCCCCATACAGTGGGGTTTCAGAGGCTGTAAATTGCACAAGAGAAGACTGTACATCTTTCTACTATGCAGTGGCTAGTAGACTTGAACCATGGGCCTTTGGCAGCATAACTCCTTACCACGAGGCCACCAGAGCGCCCTAAAAAAGGCTGAACGCAAACTGCTAGAGAGGTACTGCCTTTTAGTTAACAGAAGGCCCCAGCCACACAAGGGAAGCCTATGTGACTGGAGCAAGGAGATGCGGAGGAAGGTGTGGTTAGAGACCAGCGGGGGCCAGAACGTGATGAGGTTCCTGAAATGAGTAATTGCAAACACAGGTTCTTTTAGCCCTTACAAGTCCCCATATGTAGATGTATAATCGAGGAGTGACCAGTTCTTGAAAAAGGACATGATGCTCAGTGTCGTTGAGGGTCAGAGGACATGAGGAAGACATGAAAGGACACGGGGTCGACACAGTAGCTGCAACAATAGGTTCAAGGGCCAGGCAGGGTTTCCTCCTGCTGCACGTGGGGTCACTAGGAGTCACAGCTGACCTGAGGGCCCCTAACAACGGTGACACATCCATCTCTATGCAACTGACAGATGCGCAGTGCTTATGGATGACCGAAGAAGAACTGCTGATGCCTTTGAGCCGTGGCGCTGGAGAAGAGCGCTGAGCAGACATACACCAAGGACTGCCAAGAGAACACACAGATCTGTCTGGGAGAAAGTGTGACCAGGACGCTCCTTGGTAGCAAGGATGGTGTAGTTCTGGCCCACAGACTTTGGGCATGTTGCCAGGAGGGGCCAGTCCTGGGAGAAGGACTCCCTGCTGAGAAAGGTGGAGGGTCAGTGGAGGAGAGGAAAATCCTCAAGATGGATGAACATGGTGACTCTGACAACGGGCTCTGAGGCTCAGATCTGTTGTTCACAAGGTTGCTATGTGTCCCAGTTGACTCAATGTCGCACAACAACAACAGGGACAGTAACAAAGTCTCAATTTTGTCTCAAAGACAGCTTTGAGAGTGTTGTCCCGTTTTCCAGATAAAGAAGCCGAGGCTCTATCAGGCGAGGCTGACGGCCCTTGGTCAGTCTGGTAGCTCCTCACCTGGTCTGGAACGGTCCTCTCTGGAGCACCCCACATGGTGCAGACCAGCCGGCTGACTGTCACTCCACTTCCTGGTCCTGGAGGCAGAGAAGAGGGAGAGTTGCAGGTCCAGCCAGAACGGGGAAGCCCCTCCATACGTGGGAACACCCTGTGTCCATCCATTCATTCTAAACCAGGAGCTCTCTACAGAGTGATTCTGCCCCTTGGTGGTGGGGAAACATTCATAGTTGTCATAACGAGGTGTCAGTGTGCGGGTTTGCTGCTGGCATCTAATAAATAGAGGCCAGGGGGTTGATTAAACACCCTACAGTGCACTGGATATAAAACCTCTCTTCCACCCAAATGAGAGACAAGTATTCTGCATCAGATATTGATGATAAGAGTTGTTGGGGGGTTCAAACCATTAACATTAAGCTCTGCCGCCCATACTGTGGTTGGGAGAGACCTGGAGGTGCTCAGGAAGAAAGACCTGGCAACCTACGTTTGAAGTCACCGCTGTTGAAACCCTATGGAGCACACGCACAGAGTGGTGACGGGCTACACAGTGATTGGCTGGTAGGAATAAGTAGAGCCCAGAGGGTTGATAAACACCCTACAATGCACTGGATATACAACCTCTCTTCCCTCCAAATGAGAGAAGCCTTCTGCATCAGATATTGAAGATAAGAATTGTTGGGGGGTTCAAACCTTTAACACGCTTTGCTGCCCATACTGTGGTTGGGAGAGACCTGGAGGTGCTCAGGAAGAAAGACCTGGCAACCTACATTTGAAGGTCCCACCACTGAAACCCTATGGAGTACACGCACAGAGCCGTAATGGGCTACCCAGTGATTGGCTGGTAGGTTCAGTGTTCACGGTGTTAGGTACGGGGCACCACGGTGAGTACCTGAAGGACTCTGTCCTTGCCGGGCTGTCTGTAAGGATGTCCTCGCTAAGGCTGCGCTGCAGAGGCCCCAGGCGGGTCACAGGCCAGGAAGCCACGGCCCCCGTGGCCTGGGAGAGGGGCCTTCGGCCAACCACGTAGCTGCGGACCAGGGAGGCCAGGCTGGGGAAGCGCTCGTCCTCCAGCTGGAAGAGGGCGGGAGGCCGGCCTGGACGGGGTCGCAGCACCACACGGAGCACCTCGAAGTGCAGGGTCGAGCCTCGCCAGCGGCAGCTGAGCACCGGGGGGCCCCCGCGGGACCCCGAGGCTCGAACCAGAAAGTCCCCATCGTGCTGAAGCAGGGCCTCGGCCTTCTGGCGTGGGGGACAAGGGGCAGGGTGTTTAGAAACGGGTCCAGACCAGCTGATGATTACCCTCTCAACGACCCCCTTCCACCCCCCAAAGAGGATATCATCCAAGTGCAACTTCTGGGACAGAGGCTAGGCCATTTCCCCCCCAAATCACTGCCTCTTTCTCATTGACACATAGCTGGACTACATTTCCCAGGCTCCCTTGCAGCTAGAGTCATGTGATAAGGGTTAGCCAATGGGGAGTGAACAAAAGGCTCTTCTAAGTGTTGGCAAGACCTTGGGTAATGATGGAGAGAAAGGATTTGGGTCTTGACTGAATTCTTGGGAATAGCTTTGCAGCTACACTTCTCAAGCAACAGAGGGGGACTACGATGGAAGCTAAAAGCAGTTATTTACTGTGTTTAACTAGTGCTACCTTAGGAGTCCCTGGGTGGCATAAATCTTTAATATAACTCTGATGATAATGGAAAAGGTTGAGGGTTTGAGTGAGCTCTGGTGGCCTAGTGGCAAAAAGCTGCACTGCAATTCCAGGGGTTCGCAGTTTGAATCCACCAGATGCTTTGCTGGAGAAGGAGGGGCAATCTCCTGTACCAGTCAGATCCGATTTGATTTGATAGTACAAACATATACACGCACACAAAAAGGTTGAGGGTTTGAGACCACACAGAAGTGCCTTGGAAGCAATTTCTGTTGATCCACCTCTAAAATGTAAACCTCCAAAAACCCTACGCAACACCCTACTCTGAACAGGCTTCTCAGGAGTCGGAATCAACAATCAGTAACCGTTTTCTTTTTGTTGTTCTTTTGCTATATAACTCTAGCTTCAAGAAAAGCCAATCGCAAGATCCTCCAAAAGGCTGTGGTGCTAAATCCGCCTCCTTTATAAATATTTCTAAGCACTCATAAGCCCGGAGTAGTGATTAGTATCAAAACAGGCACTGGGGTGGAATCGGGTGGAGAGCCAGGATATCAGAGAGTCAAAGCAGAACTGGACATGAGGGCTGTAAATGTAGTGAGCACATCTACATAGATCTTACTGTGCCCCAAAAGTTGTTGTAGATGTTCACGTAACTCATCATTACACATTATGTATTGAATGGTGTCCCTCACTTCCCAATATGAGATTTCCAGCTCTGATACCTGCATAGATAATCTCATATAATGTGATCACTTCCCCTGATATAATATAAGGGAGCTCTGGTGTCCTAGTGGCAAGAAGCTGCACTGTAATTCCAAAGGCATGAGGTTCAAATGCACCAATTGCTCCATGGTAGAAAGATGGGCAATCTCCTTTCAAGTGATTAACTGCCTCTGAAAACCCGCTAGAGGGTCAAATATGGGTTGGCTCCAACCTGGTATACACACACCACCAGTGTAATGTGATTAACTTTCTATAATGCAGTCGACTAGGGAGGACAGAAGAAGAATTGACGCCTTTGAGCTGTGGTGCTGGAGAAGAGTATTGAATGTACCATGGACTGCCAAGAAAACAAACAGATTCATCCTAGAGAGGGTTAAACCAGGCTGCTCCTTGGAAGCAAAGATTATGGGCCTTCGTCTGACATACTTTGGACATGTTGCAAGGAGAGACAGGTCTTTGGAGAGGGACATCATGCTTGGTAGAGTAGAGGGACAGCACAGGAGGGGAAGACCCTCTGTGAGGTGGATTGATTCAGTGACTGGGGTAATCAGGATGGGTGTGTCAGAGGCAATGTGACTGGCACAGGATAGAGCAGGGTTTAGGGCTGTTGTACATAGGGTCACCATGAGTCGCAAACGACTCGACGGCACATAACAACAAACAACAACAATGCAGTCGAGTCAAGGCAAACCAAACCCACAGCTGTTGAATCAATTCAGACTCAGGGCGACCCTTCTTCAAGTTTATGAGGCTGTAAGTCTTTATAGGAGACTGTCCGTGTTTCTCCCATGCAGTTATTGGTGGGTTCAAATGGATAACTTTCTCTTTGACAGTTCCACATGAAACAGCTACTAGTTATTGGCTGTTAGTTATTGTGGAGTCGGAGCCGACCCATAGCTGACCCTCCAGTGAGTTTTCAGAGGCAGTAAATCACATGGAAGAAGATGGTCCATCTTTCTCCCACGGAGCTGCCAGTGTCTTTGAACTGTGTGCCTTAGGGTTGGCAGTGTAGCTCCTTACCGCTAGGTCACCAGAGCTCCCTACTCAGGTCTAGTGCTTCATAATCAGTCAGTGGAGGTCATACCAGTGTAGGGTGGACCTTACATCTTATTATACCAGAAAGGAGATGGGGCCTGCTGTACCCAGTGCCTGGGGCCAAAAGGATAGGAGGTAGGGCCACGGAGTGGGCATTTATCTCCTCTTCAATTTCCATCCCTCACACCATCCAAAGATGTTAAACAATTAAAACAGAAGGCATGACAGTGCCAACCCTTGCCAGGCTTTGTCCCTAAACTTCTGGACCAGGATTCAGGGGTCTCCAGTGTGTCAAAGGCAGGGGATGGTCTTCACACACGGTGCCACAACCTTGTAAGAGGCAATACCTGACGTGACAGAGGGCCATGGTACCAGGGTTGCCTGGAAAGGTCTTCTTCCTCCTGTGACACTTGCATGGAGTTCTTGTAGCAGTGGGTGCCAGGGCTGAGCTATTTTTAACAGGGCTCAGTCTTCTGCATCTGTAAAACAGGAATAATCATTCTGTTTTCTGAGTTCCTGGGTTGACCCTTCTCATGTTCCCCTTAGTTTGGGATACAGCAGCCCATGTTGTTGTTATGTGTGGTCAAGTCGCCCGAGACTCATAGTGACCTACGTACAACAGCCCTACGCCTTGCTCTATCCTATGTCATTCTTATTGTCTCTGACACACCTACCCCTAGTACCCCAGTGACGGAATCAACCCATCTCATTAAGGGTCTTCCTCTCCAGGGCTGTCCCTCCACCCTCCCAAGCATGACGTCCCTCTCCAAGGACTGGTCCCGCCTTGCAACATGTCCAAAGTATGTCAGACGAAGCTTCAGAATCCTTGCCTCCAAGGAGCAGCCTGGCTTCACCCTTTCCAGGATGAACCTGTTCATTTTCTTAGCAGTTCATGTTGTATATTCAATACTCTTCTCTAGCACCAAAGCTCAAAGGCATCTATGGGAAGCCAAACTTTATATTATATGAAAATCCTTGTTCAGGAATTGAAGGAATTGCAGATTTATAAGTTAGGATTTCTCTTGTGGCAGATCCCAGAAAATAACCTGTTTGTTCCCTGCAGATAGGAGACAGCAAGGGGCCCCCTACAGAGTGTTACTTCCTGGGAAATACTTCCTGAGCTAGAACATTAGGCTGACAATAGAGAAAAATAGAGCCTTCATTTACAAGGAATTCTTTTTGTTACTTGCTTCCCCAGATTATCAATAAATACACAGAGAAACATGACTTGGGGTCTTCAGTCAAGAACTGCTGGGCCCCTGTTTTATGCTCTCTGCTCTATCTCATTCCTGGCTGTTTGTCTCATTATTAATAATTATAAAATTATTTCATTCTTTGGGACCCTCGGTCTGCAACAGGCATCAACTCTCCTTCTATCCTCCCTAGTCATTGTCCAACTCTCTGATGCATAGCAAGTGATTGCAAAGAACATGGCCTGTATCAGGCACACCTTAGTCTCTAGACTGACGTCATTGCTCTTCAGTACTCTGGAGATGTCTCTGACAGCAGACTTTCCCAACACAATTCGTCTTTTAATTTCCTGGCTGCTGCCGCCAAGAGTGCTGACTGTGGAGCCAAGCAAACCAAAGCTGTTAACAATCTCAGTCTCTTCACCATCCATCACAATGCTGCCAATCGGCCCAGTAGTGAGAATCTTTGTCTTCTTGATGTTGAGCTTCAATCCACATTGAAGGCTGCAGTCCTTGACCTTCTGCAGCAAGCGCTTCAGGTCCTCCTCAGTTTCAGCAAGTAGGGTTGTGTCATCTCCATCCCATATTTCAGAAATTTTAAAATGAGTCTCTCTCTTGCCCTCATCTTTCATTTTGCCATATTATGGTTTGTGTGATATTGGAAGCTGTGTCATCAATATTTAAAATACCAGCAGGATTACTCCTGATGGACGGATTTCAAGGAAGTTTCCAGACTAACACAGACTGGGAAGGAGGACTGGCCATCCACCTCTGAAAAGAATGTGCACCTAACAAATACGTCTATATTTCCTCAACAGTTGTGTGCCGTTGAATAGGAACTGACTCAGCTGGCCCTCCAGCAGGTTCTCAGAGGCTGTAAATGACACACAAGGAGATTGTCTACCTTTCTTCTTCAGAGTACCTGATGAAGTTGAATTGCTTGTCTTTTGATCAAGTCAAAACCGACTCATAGACACCCTATCCTACAGAAGGAGACACCACCTTATCCAGAGCCATCCCACACCTGCTGCTGTGCTCGAGACCATTGGAACCACCACTGCGGCATCCATCTCATTATGGGTCCTTCACTTTTTTCCTTCAGTTCACACACACACACACACACACACACACTCATTCCAAGCACAACACCCCCCTCAAGCATCACACACATACGTCCACCCACCCACTCTTCACTTGCCCTCCGGTGCTGGCTTACATATTTCTATGAGGCTGGAAGCTATGCTGTTGATATTTCCAATCCTTACAAGGACATCATGGCAGCTGTGATGCTGAACACGGTGACTCTGATTTGTTAAATGCGATAATGGTTACCCATAGTGGACAGCGTTTGGTGGAGCTCCCCGATTAAAACAAGCTTGGAAGCAGGAGTGGCATCCACTTCTGAAATAGCTTGCCTCTGGAAACCTTATGAACTTGGAGAAACTATGAAAGTTATACAAAGGTTCAGGTCTTTTGTTCGTAGGGTCGCTATGAGTCTACGACTTGATGGCACTTAACAACAACAACAAGGATCTGCGTGGGGACAGGTTTCAGCAGGGCGTCCAGACTGACAGCGTGGGAAGGAAGAAAAGGCACGGTGATCTCCTTCGAAAAGCAGCTCATGAAGAGCTGAAGGATCACACAGAACACGGTCTGCTGCCACCCTGAATGAGCCCTGAGGTGGGAGAGAGGTGGGTGCACTCCAACAGGCCAGCGATTATGAAGAAGACGCAACGTTTTGCTTTATTATTCATAGTCTCGTGAGCCACACACAGCTCTCACACCAAACAGGTGCCAACAAACAACACGCAGATCTATACCACTGTCTATCTATAGAAAAGTGTGCGGCTGGGGTGATACTTAAAGTATTTAGCCTCTGACCAAAAGGTTGGTGGTTTGAACTCACTTGCTGCTTTTCAGGAGAAAGCTGAGTCCAGTCTACTTCTGTGAAGAATTCTTGTTACCGTTACGTGCTGTTGAGTCAGAGGTTAGCTAGTTTTTCAGAGGCTATAAATCTATAGATCATTTGGGAGAAAATTGCCTGTCTTTCCCACGTGGAGCTGGTGGTGGATTAGAATTGTATGCCTTTGGGTTGGCAGCGCAGCTCCTTACCCTAGGCCGCCATGGCTCCCTTGTAAAGACCCACTGGGGTAGTTGTACTCTGTTCTGAGTCCGCTGTGAGCTGGAATCCACTTGCTGGTAGTGGTTATGCAGAAACTGGGATGGCATAAACACCTCATACTCACCTGTTTACCTAAAGGTCGGCGGCGGGAACCTACCCAGGAACACCTGGAGGAAAGGCCTGGTTGTCTGCATCTGTAAAGACTGTTGTAGTTTATTGTTGTTATGTACTGTTGAGTCACCTGTGACTCATAACCACCCTATGTCCAGCAGCTCTGAAGCCTGCCCTGTCCTGAGACAGTCTCTCTGACTCTAATACATCTGCCCCCATTGCCCTTGTTACTGTATCAATCCATCTCATCCAGGGTCTTCCTCTCCTGTGTTGTCCCTCCACCTTTCCAAGCATGATATACTTCTCCAAGGATTGGTCCCTCCTGGCCATGCGCCCAAAGAATGTGAGATGGAGCTTCAAAATCCTAGCCTCTAAGAAGAAACTTGGTTTCACCCTCTCCAAGACAGACTTAATTGTTTTCTTGGTGGTCCATGGTATTGTTCAAGGCTCTTTTCTAGCACCACAACTTAAAGGCATCAATTCTTTTTCTGTCATCCTTAGTCATTATCTAGCTCTCTGATGCAGAGCAAGTAATTGCGAAGACCATGGCCTGGATCAGTCACATCTTAGTCTCTAGACTGATATCATTGCTTTTCAGCACTCTGGAGAGGTGCATGACAGCAGATTTTCCTAATGCAATTTGTCTTTTGATTTCCTGACTGCTGGTGCCAAGAGTGTTGATTGTGGAGCCGAGCAAGCTGTAACTCTTTGCAACCTCAATCTCTTCTCCATCCATCGTGGTGCTGCAATTGGCCCAAAATATCTAATCCTAACAAGCCCTAGAACCATCCAGTTGATTCCAGTTCACAACAATGGTCTGTTGGTTTCCAAGACGGTAAATCTTTATGAGACTAGAGTGCTTAATCTGTCTTTTTTAGAGCAGCTGGTGGATTTGAACTGTTGACCTTTGTCCAATGGGGCCCCATTGTATATACTACACCACCAGAGCTCATTAGGAGTAATAATAGTCATTGAAATCCCTAATGCCCATTTGACCCAGCAATTCCACTACTGGGAATATACCCCAAAGAGTCCATAACTGCCACCCAAGCAATGCACACCCATGTTTATTGCGGCTTTGTTCACAATAACAAAGAGCTGAAAACAACCTAAGTGCCCATCAACAAACGAATGGATAGAGGAGCTGTGGTATATTCACACAATGGAATACTACACTGCATTGAAAAATCAAGGAACTCATGCAATATTATTAAAAATGGGTGACCCTGGAGGACATTATGCTGAGTGAAGTATCTCAGTCACAAAAGGATAAATACTGCATAGTGCCACTGCTGTAAAACAGGACTGACATCGGGGTTGCGGGGAGACTGAGAAAGATGGGTTAAATAATGTATACTGCATTGAAACAGATGAGGGAGAGAACTATTTAAAATAGATATGTGATTAGGTATTTTTGTCATGACAGGAGTCTAGAGCAAAGACTGCTGCATAGTGGAGTGGACCTGGGGGAGGGATTGTAAAACAATGAAAGAATTTTTCTTTTACTTTTCCAAGAGGGGAGTGTACTAGGGGGGGAGGGTTGGGAGGAGAGAAAAGTGCAACAATGAATAAATGGAAATCCAAAGTCTCTGTAAATTTTCCTTGAAAGTAATAATAAATTTTAAAAAATGATTTCTTAAGCATACTAATCAAATAAATATGAAGAAAGGATGAAGAAAGAAAGAGAGAAAGAGAGAGAGAAAGAGAGAGAGAGAGAAAGAGAGAGAGACAGAGAGAGACAGAGAAAGAGAGAGAGAGAAAGAGAGAGAGAGAGAGAGAGAGAGAGAGAGAGAGAGAGAGAGAGAGAAGGAGGGAGGGAGGAAGGAAGGAAGGAAGGAAGGAAGGAAGGAAGGAAGGAAGGAAGGAAGGAAGGAATCCCTAAAGGCCATCCGGTCAATTCTGATCCATGCGTCCCTTCATTGGGCGTCCTGGTCTGTAAGTCGTAACAGGAGCTCTGGGGACCAAGTCCACAGGGAGTCATACTGCTGACCCC